CGAAGCTTTGCAGAGCCGTTGTGAAACGAGGATCATATAATTTTGGCTGTATGGGGTTGCTTAACATCTGATTTAACGTAGAACTACCGGTTTTCTCCCAAGAGGTTAATATACAACCATTTGATATTTATATTATGATATTAATATCAACATATAATGCTGTAAATAAATTTAAATAATTTAAATAAATCTTTTTAAACTGCGAATAAATCCAAAATTGTAACCCTAACCCTAAGGTAGGGGCGTCCTTTCTGGTGTGGTGGAAGAGGGAGTGAAACAGAGTAGCACTGGTGTTGTGCAGAGTTGTGCGTAAACGTTACGGGACATTTGAATCACCATTGATGAACCTCACAAAGATTTTTTTCATTTTATATTGTTTTTAAATAATAAGCTACTTGGAATAGACCAGCAAGAAACCGCAGAGTGCATGCAATTGTCAACGAATCAGCGGACATACACAACTCTGTGCAAGACCGGTGAATGGCAGGCGAGCAGAGCGGACAGAAAGGGGTAACCATTAAGCCTCAGTTTAGCTGGAAATGTACAGTGTAAGCTCCAGTGACTAGTGAACAGAGACTGCAGCTCTGCAGCATCTCAAGGTTAAAGCACACAACACAAGAGGTCTTTAAACAGTAGTACAGCATAAATGGGTCTGAGTAGGGTCCACTTGTGTTGGGTCTGTGTCAATTCGGACCAATCCTCTTCACTTTATATATGCTTCCTCTAGGCAATATTATCAGGAAATATTCCATAAACTTTCATTGTTATGCAGATGATACTCAGTTATATCTATCGATGAAACTCATCAGTTAGCTAAACTTCAAATGTGTCTTCAGGATGTTAAAATCTGGATGACGTGTAATTTTCTAATGTTAAACTCAGATAAAACTGAAGTTATTGTTCTGGGGCCTAAGCACCTCCATCACGCATTATCTAAAGATATAGTTTCCCTTGATGGCATCGCCCTGGCCTCCAGCACCACTGTGAGGATTCTTGGAGTTATCTTTGATCAGGACATGTCGTTTAAGTTTCACATTAAGCAAATTTCAAGGACCGCCTTTTTTCACCTACGTAATATTGCGAAAATCCGGAACATCCTGTCTAAAAATGATGCAGAAAAACTAGTCCATGCATTTGTTACTTCTAGGCTGGATTACTGCAATTCTTTATTATCAGGCTGCTCAAAAAAGTCCATTAAGACTCTTCAGCTGATCCAGAATGCTGCAGCACGCGTTCTGACAGGAACCAGGAAAAGAGATCACATTTCTCCTGTCTTAGCTTCTTTGCATTGGCTTCCAGTAAAATCCAGAATAGAATTTAAAATCATTCTTCTTACCTACAAAGCTCTTAATGGTCAGGCACCATCTTATCTAAAAGAGCTCATAGTACCTTACTACCCCACCAGAGCACTGCACTCCCAGAATGCAGGGTTACTTGGTGGTTCCTAGAGTCTCCAAAAGTAGACTAGGAGTCAGAGCGTTCAGCTATCAAGCTCCTCTACTGTGGAACCAGGTTCCAGTTTGGGTTCAGGAGGCAGACACCATCCCCACATTTAAGAGTAGGCTTAAGACTTTCCTCTTTGATAAAGCTTATAGTTAGGGCTGGCTCAGGTGAGTCCTGAACCATCCCTTAGTTATGCTGCTATAGGCCTAGACTGCCGGGGGATTTCCTATGATGCACTGAGCTCCTCTCTCCTCTACTTTCTCTCCCTCTGTATGCAACCTCATCCCATTATTGCATGTTACTAACACAACTTCTCCCCTTTTCGGTAGTCTTGTGCTTTCTCGTCCCTCTCCTCTCTCCTCCTATCACTTCCTGCAGATTTTCTGGCTCTGGAGCTGTGGAGTCTGGATCTGTGGTTGCGGGTCACCTGCTGCCCCCGTGTTCCTGCTCGGCACCCTCTGCTGCAACGACTATTGTTACTAGTCCTATTATTATTATTGTTATTATAATCATTAACATTACGATGGTTATCATTAACACTACTATAAATATCTGTACCATTTTTCATTTAGTCTATAGCAACATCACCTTTACTGTCTGTACCTCTGTGTGTGTATATTGTGTAGGCTGCCTCCCTCCCCTCTCTCTCTCTCTCCTTCCATCCCTCTCTTTTTCTCTCTGGTCCTCTCCTTCCATCTCTCTCTCTCTCTCTCTCTCTCCCCTTCACCCCAACCAGTTGAGGCGGATGGCCGCCCACCCTGAGCCATGGTTCTGCTCGAGGTTTCTGCCTCTTAAAAGGAAGTTTTTCCTTGCCTCTGTCGCCTAGTGCTGCTCTTGGTGGGAACTGTTGGGCTTCTGTAAATATCATCACAGAGTACGGTCTAGACCTGCTCTTTTATGAAAAGCGCTGTGAGATAACTGCTGTTGTGATTTGGCGCTATATAAATAAAATTGAATTGAATACTGTATGTCACTCCATTTTTTTAATTTGTAATTTTTAATTGGCTTCCTGTTGCTGCTTGCGTGCACTGCTCGCCTAATGGCTAGTACCACAGCTCCGTAGCAGGTGGTGTAGTAGGTCACTTGACCATTATGTTGAACCAGGCATCACTGAGAAACAAACAGGCAGGTAAGTAAGAAAAAAACTATTGTAGTGTTTGTGAGAGTGACAGTAGAAATAGCTGAGGGTGGTGGGTTAGTGGATACATAGTGAAATCTTGTTTATTCATACATTAGGGGTGGTGGGGTGCGTCCTCCTGTACTGTAGTACTGAAGTGATGTTTATGTTTCTGTTTGGCAGATTACTATGTGGATTATTGCCTTACATGACCTCTTGTTATGAAGTTATTATAACTAAAGTTCAGGAACAAGACCACGCCTCTCTCTCTCACTAATCGTACCAACTGTGCTTTACTCATTTTATCCACCTGTGCCTCTCAAATCCAATCACCTGCACATATGTATATAAGGCCGTCTAACCCCTTTCTCTCCCATTTGTCTCAGTTTTCACATCCCTCTCCCCCAACCTCGTTTCTCTCCTCTTTCAATGGAGCCAGTGGAGAGCAATGTGGCCTCACAGCAAGAAGGTCCAGGGTTCAAACCTTGTCATTCCAGGCCTTCCTGTGTGGAGTTCTCCCCGTGGTTGTGTGGGTTTCCTTCCACCATCAAAAACATGCATGCTAAAATTCATAATTCCACCAAAGTATTTGTCTGGAGAGATTTTGGACAGGACACACAGACTGACAGTCACAATCATATGAGAAATAGATCATAAACACAAAACTACAGAAGAGCCTATGTTATCCGGGATAATGTTGAATAACATGAATAATTTACAGTAGAGTATTTTCAGCTCATTGAAAGTTACTAAACTGTATCCCATGTTATAAATCCAGAGCTAGCAAGTGTTGTCATAATACCAAAATTATGACTTCGTTACAATACCTGCCTAAAGGATACCACAGCAAAATTATTAATAAAACAGCAAATATCATATCTACTGTAGATTGTTAACAACTTTCGAAATAGCCTGTTTTCATTAATTGTTATTTTAAAATCTGATTTGACTGAATAGAAAACTACAAAAAGCACTCAGCAGTTAGCGCACTGACCCCCGGCAACGAGGTGAATGGAGTCATGTATGTTCAGTCTACTTTAGTGCACCACTGTAGTGTGCAGGCTAATAATCCTCACTTTGAGCTTTATTACCATGGCCACCAAGTCCCAGACTTATAGTTAAAGTCATTTATGTTTATTTTTATCATGCTAAATAAAACTGTAGTTTATGACGTATGACTGATGACGTGTTTTGTCCCCTATATTTGATTTTATGTGATTTCTTTGATAGTTAGGGATCCAAGCAGTGAAGCTGCTGGAGCCCTACTGTTTTTGTTCTCATTATTCTTTCTTTCTTTTTTTTGTTGTTGCATGAAAACTCACCAAAATTGACAGGTGGGTTGCAAATTCTACCCACTACTCAGGCAAAAAAAAATACCATTCATAGACCTCATGGTGGCGCTATAACAATCAACTTGACTTTTTTGGAATTATCTCAAAAACAGCTTTGATTAGAGTCAAACTTCCTTCATCAGGTGAATCTCTGGATTTATCTGCATCTTTGCTCCGATGGTCTTCGGCTCTAAAAATGTCAAATTATACAAATTTTTATCTCTTTACTCTAAAACCTATTTTTGCTAACTCGTCCCAGACGGTTTCGCCAGTCGACCTAAAACTTTGGCAGGATCATCTATGGACGTCGCTGATCAAAAGTTAACAAAAGTATTTTTATACGTCAATCTGTTCGGGTTTTTTTCATAAATATTTACTTTTTTGTCTTTATGTACAATTTATTTTTACAAGAAATGTAAATTTCTAGACATTTCTCATTCCAAACTTCTACAAATCTGAGAAAAATCACCCGTACGTCCTAGAGAGCTGAAATGTTTTCAGCACATCCACTGATATGTGACTAACGTTTTCCTCACTGCAACCTATGGTCAATTCAGAAGTCAGTCACTCTATATTTTTCAGAATATGCTAAATCAATTAACATCTATCTCCACAAGTCTTCGTTCAAACACTACCAAAATCAACACAGACATTCTCTAGATGGCTGATATCAAGTGTTTTAAAGGGTTTTCAGAAAATGTTAAAGGGGATACTCCATGTATTAGGTATTTCTCTTTCATAAAGGGGGCCTTGCAAGAGATAGATTTGAAAAAGTATGGTCAAAATCAAAGAAGCTGAGACTGAAATGTTCTGACTTAGTCCCTCGAATGGGTCAAGCTCCAAAAACACTAGATCCTATTTGTTGCATTTACCATAAAAACATTAACCCCAACGCATTTTTGTTAGAGGGCAAGGAGGGAAAGATGTGGGTGCCCCCTGAGGAATACTTGCATCTTTCAAAGGTTTGTAACAGGCTTTCTGTTTAAATGTGTTTCCCAGCTCAAACTGAGATAAGATTTAATTTAATCAGGATTATTTTCTCATGTTTTAGAATTTTTGTCTGAAACATTTCTTTTGTTCTTTTCTTTTTTCTTGGTGTGTCCTTTTACCTTGTTTGGCAGGTTAATGATGGGCTCCACTTCGCCCGGTGACCTGTTGTGCCCCAGCAGAGCCTGCAGGAAGTAGCGGCTACTTGCAGCGAGAATGGCCCTGTGTGCGCGCACCTCCCTACCCTCCACCAGCACGGTCACGTCGCACAGGATGCCCTGACGCCGCTGCTCCTCCAAGCTCAACAGCACATTGGCACAGTGGACCTTGGATTCATACACGTACATGGGCGCTGCCGCCTCACCATCCCGCTCCTCACCTGCCGACATCACTCCCTCTAGCACCCTGCATAGAAGAGAGAAAACACCATGTCAGCTAGCTACACGGAATGCAAAGGCTACCTAACATTGTGTCCAATTCCTGAAGACGCTATGACACTGTAGGAATTTTATTAAGTCCTTAGATGGACTGCCATGTCTAAAGACAAGCCAAAATCTGGTGGTCTTTCAGTGTTTTTTCTTTACAGACAAATGGCACTGATATCTGAATAGAATTGGGGGCAACATGGTAACAAAGTAGTATTTTTGCAGTAATTTAAATCTCAGTTTGAGAGGGGGAAAAATAGGACAAATGCAAACACAATGCAATTGTCGCTATTCAGAAGCATTGTGAATTTGTATGAAAATAAAGAGCCTGCAAATATCCATCAGTGAGGAAGATTGCGGTATGTGTCCATCTAACTCAGAATTAACCACAATCACCTGCTAGCCACTGTGGCATCATTTGCAGAGCTATTAAGGTTTTAAGTTTATGTAGCATCAGCAAAAAACATTCAGTACCGTGCAGTCCCACAACATGTCTTTTTGAATGAGTCAGTAATGCCATGCACTGCAGTAAACTACAGGTGTAAAGGTAACAAAAACTGAATCATGTCCAACTCTACCACTGAGTGAATACTAAATAGGGGTGAACAACTAATCCAAATCAATACTGCAACTTTCAAATAGCAGGAGGTGCAATATTTATTAAAGGGAACATGTGTGTCAAAATCTATTTTCGTGCTGTAAAGATGTCTTGGACTATACATCATATTCTACTGACTTAAGAAAATGTCTTTGTTTGGTATAGAGCCTTTCAAAAATCACACAATAATAATTTGAATATGTTTTACATAGAACATGAGAATAATGATCTTCAAATAGATTCAAAATAATCACAATTAGATATTTTTCAAAATCGTTCAACCCTAACATTGAATAAATTGTACTATACTAGGAGACAATCAATTAGTTGTGCAACAGAAAACGAATAGGCAATGATCATGAAAGATATAAGTAAATTGAAAACCTTGTCTGGTTCCAGTTTGTCAGTGTCAGGACTTGCTGTCTGTCTGTGTCGTGTGTGACACTATGATATCTCATAATCGTCAAACTCTAATGAAATTCACTGAGCACCGTCATGCTCCCAAGATTTAAAAGACTCCACAATGATAAGCTTCACACACACACCACCTCTCTGACAGAGTCTCAGACATTTCAACAGTAGAATACAAGAGGGTATTTATTTATGGTATATTTGATAGGGACAGATAGACATAGACAAACTGAAATCAGCTATCCCACGCAACTATCACAGTGTTTGTAGTGAATGCTAATTTACAACACAAAAATTACAGCTTAAAAAAGTGCACACATTTCAGAACTAGACATGAGTACAGGTTTGTTGCTAAATTTCACAGGATTTGGTAGCTTCATTAAAAGTTTTGGAGATAGCAGCAAATTTCAAGTGATTAGGTAGTGAGTACTTAGCTCCTGTCACAGAAAAAGCTGAGCTAAAGATGTTCTGCATGATGGAACTTTACAATTGCCACTTGAAGCCGCTGTGGTGGATCTGCTGCAGCTCTGAAATATCATGATATATCTGCAGAAAGACTGAGGACCAAGTCAATTTAAACATTCAAAGCTTTACAAAATGAAAATCAATGAAGTTTGCAAAGCTTAAAATCTTGTAAATGGCAAGAGACACTATGGTGTAGTTAGACTGGTTGCCTGGTAGTAAAACATAGAATATAGCACAGATGTGAGAAAATCATTGAATTTAGAAGCCGCAAGGCACAGGCAAATGCCAAGCACTTTCTTATCATCTTAAAACAGCTAAGGTTAGCCCTAATTGTTTTTAGCTTTTCACTGCAGCGTTACTGTACCTTGTATCTATATGTATATAGTACACATATATCCAGATATAGATATTAAAGAAGTAGATATACATAGATATAAAGCAGTCTCCCACAATGAGAGGCAGGCAGTCTATCCATTGTTTTGTTTCACTGCTGTAGTACATAAAGCCCCAACAGACAGCTGAGCATGCAGTCTGTCTGTCTCATCAGCCCTGGGCTCTGTGTGTGTGTGTGTGTGTGTGTGTGTGTGTGTGTGTGTGTGTGTGTGTGTGTGTGTGTGTGTGTGTGTGTGTGTGTGTGTGTGTCAGCAGACAGAGAGGGGGCTGCTTTCTGCTGATTCATGGCTTTTGAATAGGCAGAGCGCAGCACTGAGGGCTTGCTGAGGTAGTGTTCTGGCTTTTCTCCCTGTGTCCCAGGCCAATCATCTCAGCATTGTAGATCATCCCCTGCCTCCCCTCAGGAACACTTCAGGCTCAGACCTTACTCTATTGCTTTCCATGATGCTTGCATATTGTTCACCAACACTATTTACCCACTGCACTACTCTGTTCATATTTTTAAGCCACTAAAAGGTGGAAATGCATTTACTAACACTGCTCTTTGTCTACTCATCTGATGTATTCCTCAGACTGTGTCTTCTTATTACTGAACTCTACTGCACCCCATACTGTACTCTGCTACTGACTACTAACTGTGCTGCTAGCTGTGTATAGCCATAGGCCTGAGGAGCATTTCCTCACATTACAGTACAATCTGATGTTATTGTACTCTTCTCTGAATATCAGTCACTTTAACAAAAGCACTAGAAAGGTCATCCAAACCTTAATGAAAAAAAATACCCTATGCTGTCTAAATGTATGATTCAAGCAAATAGTAATTACAAACTCAAAAAACTTGGTTTGACAAAACATTCTAGCACAAGGTCCACTTACAGGAAATGACTAGTTTTAGCCACATCGAAGGCCCAGTAGGTGGACCTTGTGCTAAGATTGTTTTCTCAGATCACTTTTCCCAATGTCAACAATCAACCTCCAAATTTAAGAAAATGCTCTTGTTTAAAAAAACATGTAAGACACTAGAAAGAATGTACTAATACATGGCAAACAACAAGTTCACTATGTTGAGAGAGTACCTTTGAAGTTTCAGTGTGTAATTTTTCTGAGGATTTATTGACAGAAATGCAATATAATATCCAAAACTAGTGGTGTATAAAGACCTTACATAATGAACCGTTATGTTTTTATAACTTAGAATGAGCCATTTCTATCTACATAACCAAGGGTCCCCCCTTCCATGGACGTCACCATGTTGCTACAGTAGCCGACAACGGAGAAAGAGCACTACAGACTCTACAGACGCCCGTCACTACATTGAATATGTACAAAGAAGAAGAGGAAATAATAATAATAAAGAGTCTCTGAGTAGTCTTCTGGTTTGTTAGAAGTAAGAAGAGAAGTGACATTTGGACAAATTAAGGAGCACACGTGTTATTTAGCTGATGTTTTCATGTAGTTCTTCTAGCGCTCTGTTATGGCTTTGCTACGTGGCCAGAAATGTGCCGTTACCTTCCTGAGACAAACCGCTGATGAATATTATTGACAATAAAACAGTGACAGCAGGGAAGCTCGGATCAGCAGCTAAACTTCACATTTTACTGCCCTGGTGGAAAACATTTATTTTTTACTGCTAATGGAGATTTATAACAAGACCGTGTGCCTATCAAGTGACCAATAGTGAATAATTTTCTTGAATATTGCTTCCCTAATGTGCACACAAACTAATTTGTACTTTCACATGCTAAATGCCCATTAAAAACGTTTTTTAACAAAATTATGGCTGTCAGTACTACTTTGTGTTTCTGTTGTATTTCAAAAAATTCAAAAGACATTTTGGTGATATTTGCATGCTTATCTAAACGTCATCTATTATGTGGTTTACAATGGACTGTGGTGCAGAAACAGTGAGGCTTACATTGTCCTGTTATCTGTCAGTGGTCATACTGGATGCACTAGATAGTGTTTGAGATGTTCATTCTTCATTAGGGCCCAAGCACGAAATGTGCAAGGTCCCTATTGAAACTGCAAAATAACCAACACCCAACAGGAAGCCGGCCATTTTGAATTTTATGGTAATTTTTGGATGATTTGCACACTCCGTACGTTAACAAACTCCTCCTAGAGAATTAGTCTGACCAACTTCAGATTGTCTACTCTAATCCCACTGGCGATTAAAAGTTGAACAAATAGTGAGTTTTTGTGAAACAGCGTGAACATGGCGTCCAAAATCAATGATTTGCCATGAAAGAGGAAGTTGTTGTAACTTCAGTGTACATGCTCACATCTGCACCAAACTTTACGCGCTTGATAAAAGTCACGCCCTGAACATATCTACATGCTAATAGTCAGTTATACTTGTAGCGCCAAGTGCTATGTAGCGCCACAATGGGGACACAGGAAGTTATGATTAACACCGTTGTGCAGCGTTTGAAGCACGTGGCAAATTCACAGCCGCACCGGCAGAGCTCCAGAATCTGCAATGCAGCCGCCTCACAACTCAATGTGCTACACGTGCGAGGGCCCGCCCAACGCTGCTTGCAGCTTTAATTTACTTTGGGATGTTAGTCCAGGTGAGCCAACCCTCCCAAGATGTAAAATAACATATTACAGGAGTATGAGACATCATGCAGCACTTCATTTCTGATGTGGCTGTTGTTTATTAATGAACAAGTAACAATTAAAAAAATGGTTTTATTGAATAAAATGCTATCTTATAGACGACATCTTTCCTCAGGCACCGTAGCTATACAACTTGCTTGGATAGGGGAGGGGGTGTTGAAATTCGTTGTAATTTACAACCCTCACCAGTAGATGTCACTAAAAATAAGAAATAAGAAATATTATGGATATTGTACTTTAATGCACACTGTCTTTGGGGCCTGAGCAAATACACCTGTGTTACTCTCTCACCAATCTGATAACAGGGGTCGACAGTGTTTCTGCTAGTAACGTATGCCACACAGCAACAATAATCGCTAAAAAACATCTGGAGCCAGTTGCACCAGCAGGGCTTTATTAAGCCGGGTCCTAACTGCTAAGTAGGTCTTAGTTAATCCCTTGGTGCCTGAATTTATTTACAATAAAAAATAAAATAAAAAATAGGTATGATGCAA